TCCTGCGCACGCCACGTCGATCGGCGAAGGACGAAGTCGACGAGGTGGAACCGACGTTCGCTCGAAGGCGCGTCGAACTCGCCGAACGCGTCGCGCCAGCTCTCCAGCCTCGATCGCGATCGCTCGGCTTGGAGGAAAGTTTTCGCCCGACGTAGGAAAACCCCCAGCCAGCTGATCAGGAAAAAATACAGATTTCCATTCACCGATGTAGCAATTGCAGATCGCCGCCGCTTGCGCAACTGTCGGCGCGTGCGATCGCATGCGCAATCGTCCCAATTGCTCCCGACCGGCTAATTAGTCAGCGACTCGAAGACGGCCCGGCGGGGACGGTTCTCGTGTCGCATCATCGCGCCGGTTGAAAGGTGACCGCGACGATTTAATATCAAAACGCTCCTCTACAACTGCTACAACTCGTGAGTATCAAGGTCGACAGTCACGATCGCCTGGCGCGGCCGGCTTCCTTTTCTCGGCGCGCGGAGAAGAAATCCCTGAACGATCTTAAGTGTCGGTAGCGAGAAGATGAGGTCGATCGAACCGCTGGATAGCGGTAGCACCGGCCGAAGGAGACGAGGGACGTTGGCGGAACGGGAGGGAGGGGTAGAGCGGGGGCGGCGGCTAGATGGGAGGGAAACCGAGAAACGACGAAATGACGGCGGTCGATGGACGGTTCGTTAAGTAGATGGCTGGTCGGGGGACTAAGCACCAAAACCACCTCACTGTGGTTTCACACCCGCGGAGTGAGAGAGCGAGAGAGATCAAGAGAGGGAGAGAAAGAGAGAGGATAAGACAAAGAGGAGAGAGAGAGAGAGGTCGGCAGTAAACAACTCGGAGTTCCTTCGGTCAGGACTCGCGCGTTCTTTCAGCGACGACGGTGAGGCTCTTGCGATTTCTGCAAGGATCCTCGAAGAAGGAAAAGAAGTCGCCTCCTGAGAATCGGTCACCCGGCGACGGCGCGAGCATTGGCGTGACGACGACGGTCAGCTGCGCGATGAATACCGTGCCGAGCACGACGACCGGCAAAATAGAGAAGCGTGGCATTGATTGTTAGATTATTAACGGATAACGATCGTGACCGCTTCCGACTTGTTTGCCCCCGCTCTTGTCACCGGGCATTACGTTCCTCGACGGTACAGATCTTGAGCGTCGCGCGATCGGGGTAGGTGGAGCAGACAGAAAAACGAGCATCATTATCGGTGTGCAAATGAGCGCTGAGGATGCGAATGACGTGGCTAAATCGCCTAGCTTATCTGCGGTTTAATTGATGACCCGGTAAATAGAGACTCCAATCTGCCGAGATATCAACAATACTGCGACGCGTGGAATTTTTTTTACCCGGCATAACTGATAGCGTGCGTCCGTCCAAGCCGCAAAGTCCAATATCCGACTGATGATTGGCCGATGCGATTACCATATTTCCCGAGTCCGAATTCCGGGCTCTCCGATGATTAGGCGGACTATTATCTATTACGTTGCTGTAACGACGGCCTGAAGAAATAAGCCTCGGGAGAAGCCCATAAAAGAATACATTTAGCCGCATTGTATTCGGAATAGCGTTAATTGGGACGTGCCGTCCAAATTCGAAAACTGTCTCTAAAACGCGCAGGACGTATGGTCACCGTACTAATAAAGCATCGCCGAGCGAACGAAGAAGAAGAAGACGACGACGACGACGACAGCGACGGAGCAGAAGAAGAAGTAGAAGAAGACGACGAGGACAAAAAAAGCGATCCTTCTCTCCTGAATGGAATCGAACGCCACTTTCCTTTTTCTCGCTCATCCGCTCATAGAGCGAGAACCGTTCGGGAGAAACGGACTATTATCCAACAGATGGTCCTGCCGACACCGATCCGCGGACTGGTGTGTGCCTTTGTTTTGTTACCGTTGTTCCGGTAATTGCGGCAAATACACGGCCATTTTCGGTAATCACCCTGTGCGCCTCCCGCCCTGCTGGTCGCTCCTGCCACGGCGGTCCCCTTTGAGAATTCCGAAACGACCTCGACCTTCCGCTCGGTAGGCGTAACGACAGTTTTACCAGCTCGGTCCCGACCTCGACCTTACCTCGTGGTGGGTCGGCTGCTCGAACGATACCCCGAAACTGTATCGGTTGTACTCATCGTCGCGCGTGTCAATGATCGAATCCGCGCGTTTCCACCTGGAAGCTGTTTCAGGTATGAGGAAATCAAGCGCGTTGATAGCATTCGATGCGACTCACAAGTTGCAGAACGTCGCGTATGATGCAGTCGGTAAAAACGTCTTACACTTTGCATACTGTATGCGACTCGTGTGGAATGGTAGAGAATATTTTACATATAAAGAGAGAGGAATTCCCCTGGCGTTCGCACGCGAAAGAGGTAATTCCGATGAGTTTCGCATTAATTTTCCCCGAAGCTTGCGGACGAAACGTTAGCGGCGACTGGGTATAATTATTATTGGAGGACACGTGTTGTGAATAAAGATTCTAGCAATAGTCACGCAGAGCAACCTGTTTCGAAATCTCGTCCAGATAAGGATCTCTGTAAAAACGCGACTTATGAGTCAGCAAACTTTCATCCCAACGTCTGTAAAGCTTTTTAAGGTATTTTCGATGTTGCTAATATTTCCTCTGATATCTGGAAACATAAAAATGCTCAGATGTGATTCATTTGCTCGTTCGTGAGAATCGTCAATAAATTGCGGAATACAACGGTAACTACGGTGCTAGGGGATTCTCAAAAACGAAACGGTGACAAACGTTCTCACATGAATCAAATTTTGTCTTATTATCTTGCCTCTGTCTCTATATTCATCCGGTGAGAATCGATAATGCTTGTACGGGTTTTCCACCAGCTCCCTCCACTTAAGAATCATTCACATTGTCACGTGCGCACTTCTATTCGTCATTAATAGATTATTCACACGAACGATCATCGCTCAAGTGAATCCGAAAAGAGCGCGGCCCTAGACGATCTTTTAAAAACGAAAAAATTGCATGAATATTAAAAATAAAAATAAAAATAAAAATTGAACGCATAAAGATCTGAAAATCGATACAAAATTATATTTATACACAAGTGTACATATAAAAATACATATAGGCGTTTATGGAGTGTGGAAATGCATGATTCAAAGAAAATAGAATAAATAGATTCAAGTAAAATAGAATCATAGAATTGTGCGCATATATTTTAATTGAAGGATATGCTTCATCTATTTATATTTAACAGAGCGGAGCCGCGAAAAATTTCTCCGAATTGCGTATGATTCAACGCTATCATCTCTATCTCCTTCTTTCTCCGCGGATCTTTCATTCCTACATTACGAATGATGCCATGCGTAATCCGGAGAACCGGAGGCGCGATACTTTTATTTCCTGCGCCTGGGTAATAAGCATAGGAAATAATATTACTAATGCTTCCTACAAATATAGCTGACCGTTGATGCGAAGAATCGTGATTTGAGTTTCTTTCGCGGAAACAAGCTCTTCGGAGAGACAGAGAGAATGCACGGCGTGAGTTTGCAATTATAAGGCTCGGCACGGCAAGAAGATTCCTATCGCAACGGGAAGAAGAAGAGATACGCGAGAAGATTTTCATAAATCAAATCGCGCGACGAAGAAATCCTCCACTTGTGCAAGAAGATCCGGGAGAAAGATACGATTTTGAGAGTCGCGCGGGCTCACGCCGACCGCACACATCGGGAACCCCCACCTTTACCTGCGTTACTCTTACGCAATCATTCGTCGCTTCACTCGACGATGATCTCGATCTCGTCGCGACGCGTTCTCTACGTGCATCACACACGAGACAAGCTTCTCACGCACGACGCACATACGTTCACCTCCAGCGAGCGTTCAAACTTCCGCCGTGCCTGCTGCTACTACTTGTGACTCATATCAATTAATCTGTCGGTGTTACTCACTCGAAACACCGTTACCGACTCATACGATTTGCTGCGCATTTTAAGAAGCGTGCCTTATGGCGCGCGACTGTAACGCGACCGCCGCGTGATCCTCCTGGATCTTCTCGTATACGCACACACACGTGACAAGACCCACAAAATATTTTGATAAACATTGTATATATCCTACACGGAGGAAATATTGTAATAAAAATTGCCACAAAATTTTATAACGTTGGACCATATTGAAGTTATGTATTGTAATCATTAGTGATATATTTTATTGTACACATTATTAAAGATAACACACATAATAATTCCGGTATGGTCCAACGTTACAAAATTCTTTTCGGTAATTTTTACTACAATATTTTCTCCGTGTGCGTATATACATTTGTGTATATTGGATGTACTGCGTATGTACAGCTGTAGTGTTGTGATCTTCTTTAACAGATGCACATACAATATATATTTACATATGTTTAAGTATATTACAAAACATGTGAGTATGTATGTAACATGTATATTACAAAACATATCCATAGAATATATTCTCTAAAATGCAATCAGTGTATTATTATCAAAATCAATGAAATACTAGACAAAGGAGCTAAATTTTCACAAAAAATTAGTGAATATATAATACTCACTGATTACCGGTAGAATACTGTTTCAACTGAAAAAAGTACGATCGATATCATATGAGGTATATATGTATACTAAATACATCACTGCATATATGTACTATATATTGTAATGTATATCTACCTCATGCATATAAAACGTGTACACAATGTATATACAGTATATTATATTATTATATTATATTATTTGCACATCATGGATGCATATATGTATGTACAAGGAAATATCCAACGTTATATGACCATCGTGGAAATGATTTAAGTCGAGCATATGAGCATAAATTTTCCTCGGACGCACGCAAATACACAAAAAAAAGCAACATGCAAATGACACGAAAAAATTCTTACGCAGAACATTTGATTGGGAATTAACGGAGGCGGAAAGAAATGCCTCGTAAAATATTCTCGTGTCGCGGGTTTTACCTGCGCGAGCAATCGGTCGATTGACTCCGAGGACGGATCGTTTTTTTGCTGTTGCAGACACGGGTGTTGGCACCACGGAATGGACTTACCCGTCCACAGCGCCGTCTTATCCTGCGCCTCCAGTCAGCAGCGGCGGTTCCTATTCGCCTCTGCCCGGCGGCGCGTTCTCGTACCCCGGGGAGTCATTGTCGCACCATCCCACGACGGAACCGGTGCCGCTGCCAACCGGTACGGACAGTTCATGGCAACGAGACGGTCAAAACAATAGAATAGAATTCACTTACGTCGCGCCGGACGACACGATTCTTCGGCTGCTAATTGAAAAACACCTACGACGATTTAATAACATTCTGACGCATAGGTCGTACCAGGAAAAAGTTTCGTAACGCCTCGCGTGCGTTCGTCCCGTTCGTATCCATCTAGGAAATTATATTGCAGTTGACATTACAGACACGGAGACTCGCTTTTAAAGGATCGTCTTGCCGGTAATTAGTCGCGGAGGTAGAAATTACCGAAACGCGTATCGCGAACTTTCAAAAGCAAATCTCACGAAGAGGATACGCCACGATTATCAAATTCTCAATAGACCCGTGTGTGATCGGGAGAGACGTTCGCATAACACTTGGCGACGAATTTGTCCTTTCCACCGTAAAAATCGCACGATCGCTTTCGTTACACGTCGAAGGCTCGACGAAATCCACACAATCGGACCGTTCCGTATTCTGCTTGCAGTATTGCCCTCGGAGAATCAGCAGGACACCTACACGCCGAATTGCATGTCCATGTATTCGGGACACGGCAGCTCGCCGACGTCCTTGCCCTTGGTGCCAGCCAGACCCAGCGACCCCGACATCTTCGCCAGCGGCGGCACGGGCAGCGGCAGCCCGGGTTACCACTACGGCTCGTGGACACCTGGCCCCGCCACCCCGGTCCCAGTGGCCTCCCACAATTACAACCCGAATTATCAGGGCTACTACAACAATCCGGGCCAGAACTACATCAGCCCGCCGCCCATGGTCCTCTACCCCCAGCTGTACAGCACCGTGAATCAAAACCAGATACACCTGCACCTGCACGGTGACATCAGCGAGGAGCAGGTCACCATAGCCGGCAGTAATCTCACCATCAGCAGCATCCGAGAGATCGGCGTGCTCGGCGAGGAGAGCGAGCAGAGGAACGATGTATGGAGGCCGTATTAGAGAGAGGAAGGGAAAGGAAGGGGGATCCTCGGTGCAACGCGCGATCGAAATCGTCCGTGAGGGGTGTCGTGCGTGAATCGCAGTGCGCGAGCTCCCGATCGTGGCAATGTAATCCGTAGTTAGTGCTGTGACGACGTGTGAACGTTGACTCTTGGAAACGAAGGTAGTGCGAGCTTCTCGGGGAAGGTGCGAAGGATCACCGTCGGGACTCCGTCGTCGCTGTGCGACCATCTTTAGGCGCGCGAGTCATCGCGAGCAAAAGCCGGCCGGTGGACGATATCCGGTGTTTCGTAATAATGATCGTCAGCGTAAGTGAAAATTGTGGGCCCGTGTCGCGAGTGCGAGGCGTATTCCGCTGAAAAAGAAAAGAGAGAAAATATAAAAGAGACTCGTCAACCTGTGAAAGGCGTCGAAGAGCAACGGGAGATCTCATTAGAATCGAAACGTGAGACTAATCAGTAACAATTCCTCGTGCGTACGCGAGTGGTGATACACTCATCGTTACACGACGGACGTTCTATCCGTTTCACAATTGTAAATCGAATAATGGAAACGTCGTTTGATTCTCGACCGGCAAAAAAAAATTAGTCAGACGCTGTAACGTTGTAAATACACACAGATATTTTCAGAAACGAAATAAAGTCTTGCCTGACAGGCTTCCTAAATCCCTCCTCTTGACGCTTCGTGATGGAGAAAAAAGAATACAGTGTGAATATCGAAGACAGCAGGATTTTGAAACAGGATTTCGAACAAAAATCTGTTTCTCTCGCACACACAAAATGCACCGGGAAATTTGTTAATTTTTAAATTCGTAGCCGAGATTGGTGCGAGAAAGACGCGACAAATAAATAAATTGGACCCGGCGCTTTCTCTCTCTCATCATCCGTAGAAAGATCTTCGTGCGCGTCATGAGAGTGGACCGTGACAACGCCGTTGTCTCTTTCGTCGCGAGGGAACGAGTAACCCTTTTTACGAGCGCAGCGAGCTCTATTTAATATTTAAAGCACGCTGGAAATGACGAACGGATGGATAGTTGCGGTTAGACCAGTCGCGACATCGCCGGCTCGTCGTTTCTGCGTCCCTTTATTAGCGAGCCACCCTGTCCTGCTCCATACGTCGACGAAATCTTTAAACCCGTCTTGTTTAATTTAACCAATATTGCATTTTGCGCAATAATCAATTTTTTCACTCGGTAAAAGTCACCGTTGATACTGAACCATTGAAATAATAATCGGAACAGTTTTTGAACTTTAAAAAGAAAAAAAACTACCGTTTGAATATCGAAGTGGCGAGAAATACATCCGGTGGTTCCCAAGGATGAATAATTTACTAAATTTCCACGTTTGTTCGGCAATTTGCTTTTAATTTATTGAACTCTTACACACAGTGCGTGACTATTGGATGACATAAATCCGGAGGCAATATTGTAGTAAAAACTACTAAAAAATTTTGTAATATTGGACCATAGCGGAATTATAACTGAAATTATAATGTATATTGTAATCTTTAGTGATATATTTCATTGTGCATATCACTAAAGATTACAACACACATCATAATTCCAGTCGTAATTTCGGCATGGCATAATGTTACGAAATTTTGTGGTAATTTTTACTGCAATGTTTTCTCCGTGTGCAACAAGGACGTGTCGTCGACGTGCAATCGTTTTTGATAAGAAATAATAGTACACCGTCCAGACGTATACGTCATAATGAAATTATCACGTGGCTGAGAATTTAATTAAAACTGCTCGGCGGTCTTGCCGTTTGACACCGATGTGTACACGACGACGAAGTAATCTCCGTAAATCGTAACTGGAATCAAAGGTATAATGAGAGGCTGGAAACGCCGAACGTCTTTCCATTAACGAGTAACTTTCCTCGTCTACTCCTCCTTCTTTAATAATCGCATCATTTGTTTCTATAAATAACTACGAAAGGGACTCGGAGTAACCGAGAAGTGGCCCCAGACAAAGAGAGAGAGAGAGAGAGAGAATCAGCGACGTCTCGTAATTAGAGAACTGTAGTTCGTCGGTGTCGTTGCATCTGCAGGTAACTCTTCGCGAACATCTCGCGATTCCTCTGCTCATTGAAGTCGCGGCACATGAAAATGTTCATAAATTAACAGCTGGTGTCATGCGTCTACCTCCGTCATTTCTCCCGCCATGCAGTTTAAGCGGAATCGAGCGAGCCGACTGTTACGTACGGAATCGCGGATAACGACCGGAAAGCTGGACGAAAAATGCTCAAGACGACTTCACACTTCGAAGGGAGATCTCTCTCTCCCGGCTGTTCTCTCCCATTTGCCCCTCTCCCGCGAATGTTTACAGCCTCGACGCGTCCTGCGAATAGGACGCCACGAATAAAACCACGGAATAAGCCGAGGCGGCCGTCGCTCGTAAGCTTCTCTCTTTACGAGGATGAGTCGACTCGCAGTCGACCGCAGACGAGAGAGTCTCCCGCCCTTTCCTGCGTCCGTTAAGGCGAACTGAAATACGTTTCGTCTCGCAGGAAACGGTCGACATCTTCGGTACCATCCGAGCACGGTGAGAATAAATCGCGCGCGGTTTTCGCGCCCTCGATCGAACACTTGGACGACGAATGCCGCTTGCATGAGAACCCTGCACGACGAACCAGGTAAAACAAATAACGATAGATGGAAAATGAAGACTCAGGACGAAAGATAAGAACAGAGGGAATTCGCATTCACACTTCTTCAATTCCAACGTGCGCTCTCTCTCTCTCTCTCTCTCCCTCAAAATAGTACTCGGATATTAGAATTCATTTATTAACGTTCGTACACACCTCGTCGGATACATGTCATTTGAATTGCCATATATACCGTGTATTTCTCGTATTTAATCGCAGACGCGCTTTCGCGGTCGCATTGTTCCACACGAAAACAAGTTTCTCGTTACATTCACATTCATTCTATTTCTCACACATATAGACGCATTTTCCGGGAGAAAAACAGGGGGTACATAGGCACGTTTTATTATCAATTATCAATCCCTCCATTATACACTTTTAAACCATCTGATACTCAACAACATTTACAACATTTATGGAATGCACCGTATATCGGGAAACATCGGGTATATAATATTTGATATATACATCAACGTTCACAATTATTATCTCTACTTTGATTACGAAACGACGAATATAAATGAAAAATCAACAAACAATATAATACCGGCTACCGAACGTAAAACACAAATCACCAGCGGGTTACCTAAATCAGACACACGTCGACGGATCGATTCGTTTATATACAATAAAATATAATACCAATCGCAAGGGATGTAATACTTTCCTAGCTCTCCTCGCCCCGAGATTCTCCGTTCTATTCTTTGGTCTACGAAAGAATGATCACCCGATAAATAATGGCGATGGGATCTACCACACTAGCGACGGGAGCTGCATAAAAAATGACGTTCCACTCCTAGAGATCGTGTTCTTCTTTGTTTCTCTCTTTTTGGCAAGTGTACATAGAGGAGTATGCCGGTAACACCCGACTCGCGCGGCGGGGCGCGTCGCGCGAGACGCGTCCGCGTTCTCAAGCTTTGCGTTGGAAGCAAAAATCCCGGTACACCCGGCACTACGACCGGACCGCAAACTACAGTTAAGCGCAAAGAGCATAAAATGAGAATCGAGAGATGTGCGCAGAGTGGATCGTAAATAAAATCCTTGTCCCCTCGTGTCGACGCGTCGGCATGCGCGGAAAAAATAGGGGTTTCGCGCGGGCGCGAAAACGGGACGCCGCGTTTTTTCCTGCCAAGCGTGAAACGAATCGCGCTCGATCTGATCGCGAATAAAATATGCACCGGCCGCACAGTGAAGTCTTCCTCCGTCTTCTCGTCCCTCTCTAACGAACTTTACATTCGCATCACAGCAGTAATGAAGGACTTGTTGAAAACAATACGATATATCAAATTGTTTCTCGTACGAAGATCAATTCGCAACTAAGGCTGCGATCGCGCACGCATGCGTGTCTGAACGATCGCTGTTAATTATTTGTCAATCCATAAAGCACGGCAATACGGTGAAATAGAACCGACAGACGTTGCTTCAGACCGTGATCCACGGCATGCCTGGTCAGCATACGCACACCGCCCACAAAAACCGGAAGCAGCGGCGCTAATTGCTCGTCCTGCACAAAAGAGTCACCCAACTTTAGTCTAATCGGATCAGGAAATTCGCGATTTATAATATAACAATAATTAATACGTTCTCTCCCGTACGAATGTTGCGTCGAACTCAAATTCAACGACGCTTATTTTACAAAGATATTTTGCACTTTTGTTAAAGTCTGCCCTTGTTAAAATTTTTATGTGAAATCTTTAACCCTTTGCACTCGAGGGCTCCGGAGCGGAGTCATTTAAAATTTGTCTTCAAACTCGAGATGGAGACAATGCAAATAACTTTCAGTTCATAACATAAGGACAAAGACAAATCGTAAAAACTATTGTGTATAGGATATTCCGCTCTTGCTATTTGTATTTGAGTTTGAAGAGTTTGAAGACAAATTTTAAATGGCTCTGCTCCGAAGCCCTCGAGTGCAAAGGGTTAACATACCCATGCGTTAATTTAACAAATTGTGTTTGTTATCTTAAAATTTTGTGCTATGTCGATATTCAACATGTGTATTAAAATAACACATTTTATATGAATTAACGTATTAATTTTGTATTAATTTTCGACATAATATTTGTGTTACTTTTCAACATATTCATCTTGTGTTAAATTAACACGAAAATTTGAGTGGACCGTTTGGGACATATGAAACGTGTGAAATTCAATATCAAATTTTTTATTGTGTACGAACGAAATCTCTTCCCCAAGACAGCTCGTTTACGATCTCAGAGAATCGATATCAGAATTATTGATTACGCGGATAATCATTTATCATGCAACGTGTGTCCAAAGTGAAATACGAAAGGGACTCACTGGTAAAGCTAAGGCCCATTCCAGCGCGGTGCCCAAAGTGTCCGCCCAAGCTTTTCTGTGAGCCTCGCTGTCCTTGTTAACGTTCCTCCTCTGGAATTCCGCTTCCTGATTGGCGACCTGCTGGCTTTCGCTTGCGAATTTCTCCTGCTCTTCGCGTAAAAAAGGATTCGTCCTGAAGCCTCGCTTGCTGCGCTCGTAGTCGCGCAACAGTTCGTCGATATTGTCGAGTATCTGCGAGGACTTGGAGTTCTTCTTGTCCTCCGGCTTGACATCCTCCGGTTCGCAAGGCTCGCTCGCAGGTTCGGACGTCGTCCAAGCGGACGCGCTTCGCAGTTCCATCAGCGAGCGCGACCTCACGTCCGCCGAGTCGAACATCGAGGGATTGTCCGCGTTTCCGAGATCCGCCTTGAAGACACCCAAGGACAGGATCACGTCACTTCCGCGTCTTCTCGGGTATGATTTCCGGTACAAAAAGTCTTCGTCGAAGAACGCGTTTCGATCGAGCACCTTGACGTCCGCCATGGAGGTCCTCGAGGTGTCGACCGACTCCGTCTTCCAGAGCGAGTCTAGGTTATAGCAGAGATCGTCGCGACTGTACATCATCTTGGGCGGCGCTGGGGTCCTAGACTCGAACTTGGGGTCGATGTAACCTTCGCTCGAAGTTC